AACAACTTGAACAACGAAATGAGATTGTTCACTGAAAAGTAGGCCTATTGTCAACGAGTGATGTATTTATTCACAACTGCTAACATGCCCTGAAATTTCTAAGTCTCTTGATGGCATAAGGCAGGAGCGATTGTATACATGATGTCACTACTTATAAGAGAATGGATGTGAGTTATACTGGAATTACTGAGAGCCTGATGATTGAGCTGTATCGGCGGTATAGGTCAAGTGAGCAGAGTTTGCCACCTACTACCAATGTTTCTGTCCCACTATCTGTATTACATCTAGACACTATCCTCCCAGTTCTCCTGTGGCGTAGGGTGCGAATCTGGTTACCTTCCCCTCTGGAGCTCTTTTTTGGATGTTATCAGCTGTTATCACTTCCTGCCACATTGAGTTCTACCACATCGAGTTTCCTTTCGAGCTTCCACTCTAGCTGTAGAACAAACTTCCCATGAAGGCCACGAGAACCGAATTTGGACGCTCCTCTCCAGCGCCCCTTTTCAGCGCTCATCACTATCTGTCACCCTGCAACAATTCCCGTCATCTCCTCTTGGAGCCAACGTCCTACTGTTCCTATCGCCTCGCTATAATGACACAGTCACCGGTTGAGAAGCGTGAGGCACACACGCTAAGGGCGGATCACGTCTAGACTGGACGAGGTAAAACTCAAAATTCAGCAGTTTCGTCCCACAACAGCTTGAAAACTGGGAAAAAGTGAGCGAAAGTGAGCAGTGGGTAGGAGACTGATGTGGGAGAGGCACAGACGGGGCGGGCACAGTGCTGGACGAGAACAAAATACGAAGTTCGTGTATTGGTTCCAGAGCACCACAGAGACTGTTAAAAAGGTGAAGGTCTGCAGGAGATTGACCATTGAAGACGAGAAAGACGTTTTGTGGACCGATCGTGCACCAAGTTAGGCGGAGCTAAAGTCAAAAATTTAGGAGTCAGTTGCAGAGCAGCAGAGACATCGGGACAAGGTGGATTGAGGCTATGAAGTAGGTCAACGAATTGCAGAAACATCCTCGAAATGGGCGGGCCGTGCTTGAGATGGGCGGGCTCGCCATAAAATTTTGTAATTTGTTACTGAGAGCTTCGAGATAGGAAGAAACTGTCAAAGAGCCGAACATCTGGCAAGTCTGTTGCTGAAGCCTCCCCACAGTGGGCGGATCGTACCCTCGAGCACAAGAAGCTTAATTTTCTTACAGTGTTTCAGTACATAGGCAGTCCTACAATTATGAACCGCTTATAAGAGGTGCATTTGCTACCAGTCGGCTCGCCAGTGCGCCTCTTCCTAGGATATGGCTCTCCCATCTCCCGCCGCCCCTCCCTCCTCCCCCCCCCCACCGCCGAAGCCAACCCTTGTCACAGAAGGAAGCGGGAAGCGAGAAGGCTGGTAAATGATGACGGCTGAGTGACGAGAACTTGCATGAGAGATGAAAGAAAATGATTTTGGCTGATAAGTGCAGATGAGTGGCGATAGAATGAAAGCGCCGTGAACTTTGCAATGCGTGCCATAGGGAAAGGTGACGATGTTTGATAATAAGGTAGACTTCGCACATTGGTGTAATAAGTCCTCAACGGGCTTGTGAGAAGGATCTGGAAAAGGCTTTGTCGATTGCTCCTCTTGCATTTCATCCTTTACAGCAGCATCGTTTCCCAACCCCTAATGCGTAATCTTCAGCACCGTACGTGTACGTGCAATCTCATGTCTACTTCTCTGCTAAGGATGATCAAGGAACGTTCTCGGTCCAGGTACTGCTCGTTGACTGTCAAATTAAGCTGTAGCGTTGTTGATTGAAGAACTGTCATCTAACCAGCTCTGATTGTGAGCAATTGCATGCAATTACAGGTATTAGCTGACTTCGATAACGAAGATATCGCCCAAGCTGCAACAACTGACATTCAGTTCTCAATAAAAGATAAATCCATCCTTCTCCTAACATCGAGGTACTTTTACGCTATCCCAAAACAAGTACATCTTTTGTCAGAATAGTCAGTTGAAGCCAAACTTTCCATGAACGCATGTGCGTTTTCTGTAGACAAACTGTAGGCTCACCCCCGTTGATCCTGGCCCTAGCCGTCTGCGAATCAGCCGCAGTAGCGTGCCACAATCTCTGGTCAAAAAAAAGCACAGGAATGGGGCTGGAGACTGATGGTACCCCGTCTGATACCCCGTCTGATGGTGCCGTTCCCACGCGCTAGTTCCGGGCGACCTCTCACCTCTGGTTGTTCTCCACCGCTGAGCGCCTCTTTTGCTGCGGAACTTTGATATTGGCGCAAGTGCTGCGCATTGGGAATGATCCGGGGGAGGAGATAACGGAGACGGTATTTAGGTACGGACCACTACCCTAGAGCTCCGTTCCCGTGCACATTTGAGTGGAGGAGGTGGCACACTACTGCAGCTGAGGTTCCATTTGCCTCACACATGGCATGAACAGTCCTCGGTGGTGGCTGTACTTTTTGTACTCGAGGATATGTTGAAATTGCCTTCGAGGTGAGAATTCCTCCATGTATGTTATGAGTAGATCCGCAACTCCACATCGGATGCCATTTTTCCGCCTGAAGGTGGAAGGGAGGCAGAGGCTTTGTGAAACTGATGTACAGGGTAGTTTACCAGATCCCTGATAGTTGGTGTCAGGTTGCAGAATCGCACGCTAAGTAGTAGGTTGAGCTAGCTAGTGTGAAACAAAGTACCATTGCCGCTGACTTACGGAAAATTTGAGCACAATCTCTAAGCATATCAGTTTTTTGTTTTTCTCTACAC